GCCCCCTCCATATCCCCTTCCCATGTCTCCTCCGTCTTCGCTCTCAAGCTCGACCCCCGAACCGCCCTCGCTTTCTTCAACTGGATAGCTCTTAAACCCGGATACAAGCACACCGTCCATTGCCACTCTTCTCTCCTCAACATTCTCCTCCCCAATGGGTTTCTCCAGGTCGCTGAAAAGATCCGAATTTCCATGATTAAGGCTTCCAGTTCCCCTCAAGATGCCCTTTTCGTGCTCAAGTTTTTGCGGGAGTTAAATGGCGCTGGAGAGTTAAATGGCGCTGGAGAGTTCGAGTTCAAGCTCACCCTCAGGTGCTACAATTTTCTTCTTATGTCATTGTCTAAGTTTTCCCTGCTTCAAGATTTGAAAGCTTTGTATTTGGAGATGTTAGACGATATGGTTTCTCCAAATCTGCATACTTTTAATACCATGATCAATGCTTACTGTAAAGTGGGTAATGTGGCTGAGGCAGACTTGTATTTCAGTAGGATAGGGCAGGCGGGTTTCCACCCCGATACATTTACCTACACTTCTTTGATACTGGGGCATTGTAGGAATAAGGATGTGGATAGTGGTTACAGGGTTTTTAAGCTAATGCCGCAAAAGGGTTGTCAAAGAAATGAAGTTTCCTATACTAATTTGATACATGGGTTTTGCGAGGCTTATCGGATTGATGAGGCTTTAAAGTTGTTTTCTCAAATGGGGGAGGATAATTGTTTTCCAACTGTGCGGACATACACAGTTCTTATTTGCGCCTTGTGTAAATTGGGAAGGAAATTAGAAGCTATGAATCTGTTCAAAGAGATGACGGACAAGGGTTGTGAACCAAATGTTCATACTTATACCGTGCTCATTGATAGCATGTGCAAGGAAAATAAGCTTGATGAGGCACGAAACTTGCTAAACAAGATGTTGGAGAAAAGGTTGGTTCCTAATGTTGTCACGTACAACGCAATGATTGATGGGTACTGCAAGGAGGGAGCAGTTGAGGCTGCACTTGGTATTTTGGCTTTGATGGAATCGAGTAATTGTTATCCAAATGCTCGGACGTACAATGAATTGATTTGTGGGTTTTGTAAAAGGAAAAATATACACCAGGCAATGGCATTGCTTGGTAAGATGCTTGATCGGAAACTCTCACCAAGCCTATATACATACAATTCATTAATCCATGGGCAGTGTACAATGGGTCATTTTGAGAGTGCTTACAGGTTGCTTAATTTGATGAAAGAAAGTGGTTTGGTTCCTGACCGATGGTCTTACAGTTCTCTCATAGACGCTCTCTGTAAGAGGGGCAGACTGGAAGAAGCTCATGCCCTGTTTGATTCTCTCAATGAGAAAGGCATAAAGTCAAATGATGTGATCTTTACTTCTTTGATTGACGGTTATTGCAAGGTTGGGAAAATCGATGATGCCCATTCTTTGTTTGATAGAATGCTTGCAGAAGACTGTTTGCCGAACTCATTCACATACAATACCTTGATAGATGTGTTGTGCAAAGAAGAAAGACTGGAGGAAGCGTTTTCACTGGTGGAAAAGATGTTAAGTATTGGCATCAAAGCTACAACACATACTTATACAATTCTAATTAAACAAATGTTGAAGGAAGGGGACTTTGACCATGCTCGTAGGCTTTTAAACCAGATGGTTAGTTCTGGTAATCAACCTGACCTGTTTACTTACACTACCTTTATTCATGCATATTGCGGCATAGGAAATGTAGAAGAGGCAGAGAAATTGATGATGAAGATGAATGAAGAAGGAATTATAGCAGATTCGTTGACTTACACATTGCTAATTGATGGATATGGACGTATGAGATTAATTGATTGTGCATTTGATGTTCTTAAGCGCATGTTTGATTCTTGTTGTGATCCTTCGCATTTTACATATTCCTTTCTGATCAAACATCTTTCGAATGAAAAGTTGACAGAGACAAATAATAATATGGTGGGAATTGATTTGTTCTCAAAAGTCTCCTTAATTGATATTAGTGATGTGTGGAAGACAATGGATTTTGACATTGCTTTAGAGCTCTTTGAAAAAATGGCTGGACATGGTTGTGCACCCAGTACCAACACTTATGAAAAACTTATAGTAGGTCTTTGCAAAGAGAGGCGCTTGGAAGTAGCCCAGAGGTTATACAGTCATATGAGAGAGAGGAAAATTTCTTCAAGTGAGAATATTTATAATTCTCTTCTTAACTGTTGCTGTACATTGCAAAAGTATGGAGAGGCAGCAACCTTGGTGGATGCGATGATTAAGGATGGTTATTTACCGACACTGGAGTCCTCCACGATGCTTGTATGCGGGCTTCTTGATGAAGAGAAGACTGAGAAGGCAAAAGCAATTTTTCGTACTTTGCTTCTTTGCGAATATAATCACGATGAAGTAGCTTGGAAAGTTCTCTTTGATGGTTTACTTAAGAGGGGTTTTGTCAATATATGCTCTGAGCTCATAAGCATCATGGAGAAAATGGGTTGCCAGCTTCATCCTCAGACATATTCAATGTTGATTGAGGGAATGGATGGTCCATAAAAATGTTGGTTTCTGGTATTTAATTCTTTATGTGTGAGCACTACTACGAGCGGAAGTGATTTTGAAACATTATATTCCCAGAGATCTGTGTAAGCATTATGCATTGTGAATACTGAACGTTTACACAATAAAATGCTACAAAAGCTCGTTATTGATGTCTCAGGAGAATATGATACTGGATTTGTAGTCTTTGCAGTCTTTATTTGCGCTGTGAATATGCAGTCTCTTCAGCAAGTACAATATGTTTCTCTGGGACGAGGACCTTGCCATTGATGATTTTGACTCAAAATGGTAAGTATAACTTGTACACTTTGGGAGAATGATTTTGGCATCTCTGTGGTGATTACTGATATATTTCACTGTTTTGGCTGATTTGATGTTTTAGATTAACGATACATGAAATATTCACAGATTTATGCATACTTATTTCTTGCTCACTAGGGTTTAACTGCCAATTGGGAATTGGAAATATTAGAATGTTATGATTTGTTTAATGTTGGTGCCCATGAAGTTAAGGTGGAATGTCAAATTACAGTTTCAAAGCCATTCAATTAACGGTTTATATAGAAGAAAATTGGGCACTGGCCTGATACGACACAGAGAGAAATGTTATGTACACAAAGACATGATAGATCTCCCACATAAAATAAAAAAAGTACACTCAAATGCACCATCTTAGTTTTTCCAAAATTATCTCACATTTGATCATCCTATTCCTTGTTAGGCCAAAATAAAGAAGGGGATACTGAAAGATGTTTGATGTATAAAAAGATGGGGAAAGTTCAAATCCTTTGCTGCTTGAGTGTCGACTTCACTGTGCTTGGCAAAGATTGTTTGGGAGATAAGTGATTGCTTATTTTGTGCTGGAAGGATGAGCTCAGCTTTGGGCCTGATGTTCGATGTTACCAAAAAAAGCTTTGGCGCTGATGTTCGGTGTTGTTCACCCTTCATTCCATCTATCCATTTGCACAGGTGAGTAATGCCCTACCTCCTTAGAAAAAGATTAAAAAACATGAGTGTGTTTGATTTCTTTGTACATATGTTTTATTACATGAGTGTGTTTGATTTCTTTGTACATATGTTTTATTGCATGTACAATGGATTCAATAAACATCTCGGTCCCTTTAAAGTCAATAGGAGGCCAAAAGTAAGCCTCAATGTTTCATTTTCTTCCACTGCAACCACTTATATAGTGAGTGTGACTTATCTGCTTGTTAGGATGCTGATCTTGTATTGAAATGAAGATCCTGTGCTGTAAAAGGAGTTATCAGTGTTTGGTTGCTACATGTATATGCCAACCATATTAGCAAACCAAATGCAAGAACGCAAGGTCGGCAGGTGGCCATTCTTATACTCATCGGAAAACAGAAATCAGTACTGGATGGCTGTGATTGTGCGTGCAGATTATCCGGTGCAGAACCAACCAGCTGAGCTGGGGGAGCTTGGACGGAAGTGCTGGTATTTACTCGATCGACAGCCTTGCTGACATGATATATCTCAAACAGTGTATAGCATTTTCTGGTGATTTCAAACAGCAGATGACAAATATTTCAAGTCTGACGAACAATTAATTTACGATTTATTGTATTCTTGTGTTAAATTCCCACGTAGCAATCCCGTTTAAAATGATTGTTCCCTTGAGGACGTATGATTGTTGTTTAGGTAAATTAGGAATCTTTCGGGATGTAGAAGATCTTTTCTATTATCCTTGTATTATTTGGAGAGCAAGTTATTCTCTCTTCCTTAATAAATAAAGGCACAAGACTAGACATATAACTCATGAAACCTTTCTTCATCTCTTATCTTCGCCGTACTTCCTCTCTCTCTCAATTTTGGCCCTAAACCCTAAAGCCCACTGAAGTAATAATTGATTATAGTTAATTTGCGAGTCTCTTTGTCCAAAAGTTATACGATAGGCTCACACAAATGCAAGAGCAAAAATATCTATGAAATGATGCTTTTGAATTAAGACATGACTTTTTTTGAACAATAAAATGATATTTTTATTTATTTATTTATTTACTGGCTGGCTTTCAAGGAAGGAGATCATGAATATCAGGATCCGAATCCTAATTTAATATATATGGAAATATGTAATCCTAGTACTACCATATTAGTTTTCGATTAAAATCTGTTTAAATATGGTATCTTTTTATATATTGTGCATAATATCTCTTAAAAAGTGCAAAGTAAAAGCTTGTAGCTCAAGTCAACTCTTTTTTTTTTCTCTGTCTGCGTTAATGGCATAATCCATGTATTTCCTGTGAAGATACTCAGAATTAGTGCTTAATTAGTTTACCTTAATCATTTCTTAACACTATTTTTCTCTCTCGTATTTGTGTTTCATAGACTACAAGAGTGATCATGATCATATCATAAACTACTAATCTCTCCTTAATTTTTTTCATCATTTCTGTTAATCTCGTCTCGTTCTTACGTATGTGTTCATGATCTCGACACTGATGAACAAGCAGCAGCAGCAGCTTTTCATGGAGAAATCATCCGTTGCAGGAAAATGCCATAAACAACTTGGGTTTGCACTAATCACTTCGTTTCTTTCGTTCTTCGTATTGATTTTATTCAACTTTTCGGATCTAAGTGCGGGAAGAAATAATACTCGTGGAATCACCTTTCTCATCAACAACTTTGGCAATGTTATTTTCAACCAACGACCTCATTCTTCCTCTCTTCCTCTCAATGGAACGCTTAATGCCACAAACTCTAGTACTACCACTACTACTACTCACGCACAATCTTCCGGCCGCGTGACAAAAGCGCCAGTACAACCAATATCTGATGAGATTGAGAAGAATAACGCTGGTTTCGATTCTGATTCGTGCTCGGGGAGGTATGTTTATGTTTATGATCTTCCTAAGAGGTTCAACCAGGACCTGCTCAAGAATTGCCATTCACTTATGAAATGGACCGATATGTGCCCCCACTTATCAAACATGGGACTTGGTCCTAAAATTCACAGTTCTACGGGAAAACTAGTGGGAAATGGTTGGTTTGCTACAAACCAGTTTTCTTTGGGAGTTATTTTCCATAACAGGATGAAGCAGTACCGGTGTTTAACCAATGATTCGTCCTTGGCCTCTGCGGTTTTTGTACCCTTTTATGCCGGCCTTGATGTGGGACGATACCTCTGGGACTGCAACACGTCGGTGAGAGATGCTTCTCCTCTCGAATTGGTGAAGTGGCTTTCGCGTAGACCCGAATGGAAAACAATGTGGGGGAGAGACCATTTCATAGTCGGAGGGAGGATTGGTTGGGATTTCAGGAGGAAAACAGACGACGACTCTGACTGGGGTTCCAAGCTTATGCTTTTGCCTGAAACCAAGAACATGACGATGTTGTCGATTGAGGCGAGCTGTTGGAACAATGACCACGCGATACCATATCCGACATACTTCCATCCCTCAAAGGACAGCGAAGTGTTTGAGTGGCAGAGAAGAATGAGGAAGCGAAAAAGGCGGCATCTCTTCTCTTTTGCCGGTGCTCCGAGACCTGATCTCAAAATCCGGGATTTGATCATAGATCAATGCAAGTCTTCGTCCAAATGCAAACTTGTTGGTTGTTACAAAGGTGCAATTAGGTGTGATGACCCCCTAAATGTGATGGAGGCGTTCCAAGGGTCCGTGTTTTGCCTGCAGCCTCCGGGGGACTCGTACACTCGGCGATCAACATTTGATTCCATCTTGGCAGGCTGCATTCCAGTTTTCTTCCGTCCGGGTTCGGCTTATGCACAGTACTTGTGGCACTTCCCCAACGACCCATCTAAATACTCCGTGTTCATATCAGAAAACGATATCAAGGATAAAAAGGCAATCATCAACAAGATGTTGCTTCGAATTCCGAAGCATCAGGTGGCGGCAATGAGAGAGGAAGTCATAAGATTGATTCCGAAAGTAATATATGCAGATCCAAGGGCACCTAGATTAAACACAGTTGAAGATGCATTTGACATAGCAGTAAAAGGAGTGCTTGACAAAGTAGACAAAACTAGGAAGGACATGAAAGAGGGCAAAGATCCTGGCAATGCTTTCTGGGAAATAAACCCTGCAAAATTCGACATGCCTAAGCTCGCGAAAGAGGGAGAGAAAAATACAAACAGAAGTATAACGAGTGTTTAGTGTGTTTCCGTTTATTAATCTTAGACGCATCAACTCTTTGAATCCCAAACATTTCACTTGTTTATATTTCGTCACTTTGAACCTCATTGATTTGTAACCAGTAAGCAACAATCGCGTTATGTGTCATATCTGTCAGGCTAATATAAACCAACAAGAAAACAATGAATTCTATCTAAAATAGAGTCAGGAAATGAGACACGAGTCAAAGTTTGAAGATCGAAAGTGAAGAAAAATAATCCAAAGATTAAAAAGCAATTAACTAACAAAAAGGTTTAGGATTTAGTACAATATCGATCGAAAGCACTTGCTAGGGTATCCGAATCTAGAGTTGCACGTTGGAATCAAAACTTTTGGCTGAGAGTATCAGTACAATGTAGGAACTTTCTCTACGTTCGTATAGTATCTTCCTGTCCTAAGTGGATACAACAAAAGAATGTAGAGCGATGAATGATTACCTTTATCAGCCAGTCGTGTAAGAAGATCTCAGTAGTGATATCAAGGTCCTTAGCGTGAGCCGGCATACATTAGATTACATTGTTGGCAAACCTGTCACCAGTTCAGAACTTCAGGACCTTGGTTTCCACACCAGCATTTAGCTACGGGGGCCAATAAATCAAACCTTACAGCGAGCCGATTTAGCTGCTACTTTGCTTTGCATCACGGATGTGGAACATAAGCTGCAAGATATGCAACTTCAGACCACTCATAGAAATAGCAGACACACAACAACCATGATATACACAATTGTATGCTTACGTTTTTATAAAATGTTCAGGGTTTAGGGTTTATATCAGAAACAAAATTGAACGAAAGCCTGAAACATCATTTTGGTACAAGATAAATATAAGCCCAGAATATATAAGAAAATATCTGAACTCCTACGACCAGGCCTACATATACATCTAGTCATTTGTTCCACTACATTTAGGCATTAATAGCGAAGAAATCGTAAATTTACTATAAAATACAAAATTTATGCATTTTTCATCTAAAAACATATCCACATCGTGCCTTAACTCTGTGAAACTAATTCTAAAAGGCGATATATTTAAACTGTACCCTTATAGAAATAAGCAGATCATTGTGAAATTACCTTTGTCCCTACATAAAATGTCAAAAGCATGCCAGCCAAAACGGGGAGTCCTGTACAAAGAAAATCATCAGTCCCCCAGAAGCAGCATTGTATAAGGATAACAAGGAACCTGAGGACATGAAATTTTAAATTACCTTCTCGTTTAAGGAATTGAGAAATCAACCAACTAATCCCAGATGGTCCAATAACAAAACCAACAAGGTTTGCTACCTGCATAAACATTGGATTTAATGAAAATTGGAGGCAGATTCTAAAAATAAACAGTAGAAGGATTAGCACTTTAATTGAATCCTCGTATTGTTAGCATTTATGCATTCTTGTAAACACATAAGGTGATTTATCGTATCAGTTTGGCAGATTCATATAACATGATACGTTTTTAAGTGCTAAGTACACTAATACCAGTGGGATGCACATAAGAACCCTCACAAAAAATGTTAGGCCTACACTATGCTCTTTAAACGCATAAGATTCAATAAAAACTGTCACTGTAAAAAGGCCTTAAGCAGCTTGAATCATTTAGCCTTTCAAAAGAGAAAAGTCAAACAGCTTTTCCGAAGGGTAGGAAAAAACTCCTAAATGTTTAAACCCGACAAGGTAGAGAGTTTCAGATACGTAAACATCATCAAATTAGTCTCAAAAAACCAATCAGCCAGCAAAAAGGCCTTATTACTACTTCCTTTTCACTCAAGTAATTTTTTAAAACCTTCCTAGTGGAACTAGGAATTTAATCATCTGATTTTACTTTAAAGATCCAGAGAACCATTCTATAAACATGCAAATATCAAAAGTCAATACAGCATCAACAGGAATACAAAAATAATTATGCTTGGTATATGCTTTAGTCAATTACAGGATACTGACCATGAGGCAAGTGATCGTGATTGCACCAGCAACCGCGCTAAGTTCACGAACAACAAACTCACCATGTGTACTCTTAAACTGACAAAAAATACATGACAAAATCAAAATTGTTATGCCTTGTCAGATAAAAGAGAGAAGATAAAGGTTGATATGCTCCTCTTCTCTTCCTCTCACTCCCCTTCTCATCAAACAAGCTTCATATATATTTAAGTATCTTTTAATGGAATGAACTAGAACAAGAGAAATCACAAGGCAAAAGGGGTTGTGGAGCAAGCTTGTGATTTTCTTCCAAAAGCTTCAAAGTACAAGATAAGTCCTCGATGTTTTCCCCTAAGGGTTGAAAACCTCTTATCCTTGAGCACCAATATTCTCCCTCACTCCATCAAGTGGCCATAATAAGCGAAAACAAATCTATTTTTTTGATGTCTATAAGATGGTCTATCAAACTCCTAAGATATTCAAAGACACATGAATCCGAACAAGATTTTTGAGAAATTTTCCTATATCTTGATGTTCCAAAATTCTGTGCTATATATCTCAACCTAATCAGCTAACGTGATTAAACCAAACAGGGGGAATAGGGGGAAGAAGTTTCTGAAAAATTTGAACCTTTGGTGCTTTCTAAACAGGGAAAAAACACACACCCAGTGACTTCAAGAGGCAATGCGGCAGAAAAGGAAATCTGGGGGCTGAAGTGGACACGGGCCAAAATTCAGGGGCAGGGATGGAGCCTGTCACAAGAGTGGTTGGGCTACAAGTTGACAAAATTCTTTTTTACCTCACTTATAGTTCTAATGCCACAACTCATATCCACTACAACATCCGAGTATACATTCTCAGCAGTATCCCATTTAAAAACTAGGGGATGTCCTTGTTCAGGGGTGCAGCACTGAATACCTTCAAGCCAACAACAGCTAACTGATTGGCTATATGGGAGGTACGAGAATTGGAATGATCATCCTCCTATAAATTAAACCAAACAAAAGAAAAACAGCAAATGTAGAATAGGAACAAAGAGGCCACCTGAAATGCATTGGTTGCTGATTTCAGTATCATTTCCGGAATAAAGAATAAGCATGTCAGCCATGCCCATGAAAGAAGCTTCCTAATGACAAAGACAGAAATTAAGATAGAGTAAGGAACAAGTTTCAATAATGCTCTACGCGCATTTGACGGAAAGCTAAGATCTATTCAAGAAGAAAAATTCAAAAGCAGCAACAAGTACCATTCTAGATCATGCCAAATGGCAACAAATGTGAATACAACCCATACATTGAGAAGCTTTCTCTGAGTGCCCCCAAGAGGAATGTACAAATACCTATTGTTTTCAGTTCCCAAACAAACATGTCAGGGATAGAAAAAGATTACATGAGAAAATAAAAAGCATAACAGGTTGAAAGTTTCACCTCACAAGCCATTTGTTGTAGGAAGCATGCCAGTTTTTCCAAAAAGTTTCCAAGTTGTAGCAATTATTTATACACCTCGGCATATTCTCCGGGACCTCAATGCCACATATCTGCAGCAATTAGAAAAGTCATTGTCCCACAGCAAAACAATATTAATCCTAAAAGCTTGTTAAACCACAGTGCAAATCACGTTTACAACTAATTTACAGTAGACGGACAACCCAGCAGTAAACGCCAAAGTTCAGAAGAAATGGAAATAAAAATTTATTTACATATACACACCAGTGACCAGAACCGGAAATAGCGCCATATCAGAAAAAACTTCAGCCACATGAACATTAAGACCTGCACCATCATAAGAAAGTAAATCACCTTGACCTAAGCCAAAACAAATCCATGAAGTCACCTAACAAATAGAATGGAGATCCAAACAAAGTGAAAGGAAAATACTAAAAGACCCAATTTAAAAAAGGGTCATATAAAATTTCACCAAAAAAATTATTAAATCCAGGTAAAGTGACCCATTAAAATTACTTTGTGGCAGACTGCAGAGTGTACGAGTATGGTGAGGAACGATAATACTTACACAAGCAATTCTTACATCATATCTATGAGGAATGTAAAGATAACAATTTAATGTTTGATACTATTACAAATGAACTTATTACAAATAACAATTTGAGGACTGTTTTTAACTAGTAATAGCTAACTCTCTCATGCGGTTTTCTTTGTCCAAAGAAGCTTATCGATATCATGTATTTTAAGATATATTCATTATTTTTTATATTCTCATAAATAGGAACTATCAAATTATTCAACATTTAGTCCATGCACAGAGTCTAAGGTGCGTGTGTCTTTTGTATTTTCTGGAATCAAATACTACATTACCGCCTCAAATGAAAAGTAAATTATGTTGCTTCACAGTGTACTTTCAATCATATAAAAAGCTTGAGATATTGAAATTCTAATCATCAAAGACGTTGATACTGTAAAGATCATCTCTTACCCCATATCCAATAATAAACACATCCATAGGATGTAACTCTTTCCACATGCCACTAATAGGTACAGCAAAAGAGAACTTAGTTAATACAGTATCCAAAAGATAGAATACACACATGCATTGGTCACTCACATACACAGTACATGGTGTACCTTTAACTAGAGACTCACCTGATTGCAAACGCATTGTAATAGAAAAGATGTGTCATTAGTTCCATCAGAAGAAGACTGAACACCCAGCGCAAACCATACAAAGCAATGTCTTTAGCTGAAAAGTTATTTTGAGGAACATCCAACTGAAAATATTTCAATAAAGTCAAATACTGAGGCTCTGCAGTAACATACAAGTACGGACTATCCTCTCTAACGATATGGGAAGCACATCCAGTGCACTTGACAATCCAGAAATGACCAAATATTTCAAATTATTTAAAAAACAAAACAGTACGAATATTGAAAGTGACAGACCTGTGAGGCAAATGCATTGAAGCTAACAATTGGCCCAGTAAGATAAAGAGGTGCATACACCAAATAAGCAAGGTATGTTGTAAAGGCATACTTGTCATGCTGGACACCTCTCTCCTGGGTATAACAAACACATTTATGAACACATGGAAAATCCATTTGGATGAAAG